GACGTCACGTACTTCTGACGTCACATACTGCCGACGTCACGTACTTCTGACGTCACGTACTTCTGACGTCACGTACTTCTGACGTCACATACTGCCGACGTCACGTACTTCTGACGTCACATACTGCCGACGTCACGTACTTCTGACGTCACGTACTTCTGACGTCACATACTGCCGACGTCACATACTGCCGACGTCACATATTGCCGATGTCACGTACTTCTGACGTCACATACTGCCGACGTCACATACTGCCGATGTCACGTACTTCTGACGTCACATACTGCCGACGTCACGTACTTCTGACGTCACATACTGGCAATGTCACGTACTTCTGACGTCACATACTGCCGACGTCACATACTGGCAATGTCACGTACTTCTGACGTCACATACTGTCGACGTCACATACTGCCGACGTCACATACTGTCGACGTCAACACGGATGATAGACAATTGTTCTCATTCTCACATATACAACCTCATCTAATTTTTATTTAATTATTTTTGCTCGGAAGGGTGTCTGAATTGCAATTATTATAAAAAGTTGCACTAAGTTGGGAAAACCACGTAGCGACAGACTGGCAATAGAAGGAGAATTTGTAAGAATATGATAAGAATAATGCACAGAGAAATCCCATTTACCTGCTGTATCAATGAGAAAATCAGTAGGAGCCGTGATGAGGATTCGAACCACTGCTCGCGGTACTCCCAAGCAATGGTCCCTATGCATTGCTTGGAGGTAGCCATAGGGAACATTCTTCTTATGTTCTGGGAGTAGCCCAGATCGAATCCTCGTCACGGCTCCTGCTGATTTTCTCGATATTAATAATGGTAATGATAATATTAAACAAAAGTAAGGTTAGTATTGAACTGTATAAGAAGCTAAGAACTAAATGACATCTTGACTAGTTTTTTATTTTTAGAACGATCTTATTTGGCAACTGTTCCAAGCGTTCGTGTGAGGCCTCGCTAGTGAAAGTTCGTGTTTGTGGGACCTCGTTGTGAAAGTTCGTGTTTGTGGGACCTCGTTGTGAAAGTTCGTGTTTGTGGGACCTCGTTGTGAAAGTTCGTGTTTGTGGGACCTCGTTGTGAACGTTTGTGTTCGTAAGACCTCTTTTTTTTTTTTTTTTTTTTTTTTTTTTTTTTTTTTTTTTTTTTTTTTTTAGTAAAGAGGAAGGAGAGGCATAGGTGAAGGGAAGTATAGAAGTGGGAAGTATAGTGAGAGGTATGAAAGCAGGCGGGCTGTCCGCCTTGCTGACACGATGTGTGGGTGTTGGCAGCTAAGCTAAGCTGGCTCCCTCTTGTCAGGGAGCTGTGAGTGTGTGAGAGGTTCTTCACATGTGTTTCACCATATATGGATGTCCATAGATGAATACTGTGTAGCATTCATATATACACACTCCGATGCTTTCACACATGTTATTCTGTTTAAGGCTCTTTATTTTATTATTATTATTTATCGAGTTGTTCATACAAAGACCTCGCTGTGAACGTTCGTGTTGGTGCTACTGGAGGTGAATAATATAATTCAAGAACAGACGGGACCACAGTGAACTACTCTGTGCCCAGCACCAGCTCCTTAACTTAACCATTAAAGTACTATTTTAACTCTTTATATATATCAGTCTAAAGTCCTGGAGTTCTTAGCCTTTTCACAATTACAGACCCCAATGGAATACCTAATATGTCTCTTACCCTCTTCCTCAGGCTGTTGAAATCATCATCACTTACATGTGGATAGTAGAAAGAGAACAGCTGAAAATCATATGGATTTTATTATATATATTTATAGAACAATGACAAATCAAAAGTACACAAGGTAGCTACATACTGTGTGATTCTTGATGTAGTTTATGTGCAAGTAAAACCTGGAATTGAGTTACAATTACTGAAATTGATAGTAAATTTTAATCCAAAAAATTATTTTATATAATTGAGAGATAAAGTTCCATACCACCATCATTTGGTATTTATACCCCCGAAGGGGTTAAGGAGCTCTACTCTAAAAAAAACATAATATGTTCGACAATCCCTTACAACAAAAGAGAAAATTGTACCATATAAGATTTAGACCAAACCTCACACACTCACCTGTCTTGTTCGGTCAGTCTAAACTGTTCATCCACTTTAGGAGTTATCATGTCAACCTATCGCCAGGGAGGAGATTTTCTCATGGGAATGGATTGGAAACAACTATATAATTTGTGCTATTATCTATTCTATCCATGGTTAGGTTAGGTTAAGGTTACTTTAGGATAAGAGTACTTTAGGTTAAGGTTTGGTTAGGTTAGGTTTCATTAGATTTAAGAACATAGAACAAAGGTAACTGCAGAAGGCCAATTGGCTCATACGAGGCAGCTCCTATTTATAACCACCCAATCCCACTCACAAACATGTCCAACCTACGCTTGAAACAATCGAGGGACCCCACATCCACCACGTTACACGGTAATTGGTTCCACAAATCAACAACCCTGTTACCGAACCAGTATTTACCCAATTCTTTCCAGAATCTAAACTTATCCAATTTATACCCATTGTTTCGTGTTGTCTTATTTTGATACTTTTAATACCTTTTTAATATCCTCTTTGTTGTGTCCATTCATCCACTTATAAACCTCTATCATGTCACCCCTAACTCTTCGCCTTTCCAGTGAATGCAATTTAAGCTTTGTTAGTCTTTCTTCATATGAAAGATTTCTAATTTGAGGAATTAACTTAGTCATCCTACGCTGGACACGTTAATGTGAATTTATATCCATTCTATAGTACGCCGACCAAAACTGAACTGCATAATCTAAATGGGGCTTAACCAGAACAAGATATAACTGAAGAACAACACCAGGTGTCTTGTTACCAACGCTTTGATTAATAAATCCCAGTGTCCTATTTGCCTTATTTCGAACATTCATGCATTGATCCTTTGGTTTTAAATTCTTACTAATCATAACTCCCAGATCCCTTTCGCAATCCGACTTCGCAATCTCAACACCATCTAGCTCGTATCTTGTAACTTTATCATCATTACCTAGCCTCAGAACTTTACATTTATCAGCATTAAACTGCATCTGCCAATCCTTTGACCATTTCAAAACCCTATTTAGATCAACTTGAAGTGATAGTGAGTCTATTACCGTGTTAATTTCCCTACCGATTTTTGTATCATCGGCAAATTTACAAATGTTGCTACTCAAATCTGAATCTAAATCATTTATATATATATTATAAACAACAGAGGTCCCAATACAGAGCCTTGAGGCACTCCACTTACAACATTTTCCCACTCTGACTTAATCCCATTTATACTAACTCTCTGTTTACTTTGGTATAGCCACGCCCTAATCCAGCTTAATATAGCACCCCCAATACCATGAGCCTCTATCTTTTTAATCAGTCTTTCATGTGGCACTGTATCAAAAGCTTTGCTAAAGTCAAGGTACACAACATCGCAATCCTTACCACTATCAACTGCCTCAACAATGCTGGAATAAAAAGATAGCAAATTTGTTACACATGAACGGCCATTTGTAAAACCATGTTGTGACTCGTTTATTAATTTATGTTTTTCAAGATGGAGACGAATTGTATTTGCAATTATCGATTCAAGTAACTTTCCCACAATAGACGTTAGGCTAATTGGCCGATAGTTTGATGCAAGTGATCTATCTCCTTTCTTAAAAATTGGTACTACATTAGCAGCCTTCCACGACTCTGGTACTCTGCCTGACTCTAATGATTTATTAAATATGGTAGACAATATGGTATGCATGTCTACTATATGTAAAGCTCCTCTTTGCATTCTTTAAGCACCCTGGCAAACATTTCATCCGGCCCTGGGGATTTGTTTGGTTTGAGTTTTACTATTTGTTTAATAATATCATCCCTGTAACTGTTAGACTAGTAAACCTGTCCTCGTCCCCACCCACATAGACTTGTTCGGCTGAAGGCATAGAGTTAAATTCTTCTTTAGTAAATACAGAGATAAAATATTTATTAAAAATACTACTCATCTCTTCGTCAATATCCGTTATCTGACCTGTCTCGGTTTTTAATGGATCTATCCTTTCCCTAACCTTTGTTTGATATAACTGAAAAAACCTTTAGGATTTGCCTTTGCTTGACCTGCTATACGAACTTCATAATTTCTTTTTGCTCTCCTTATCTCTTTTTTAACATTTCTAACCAGTTGTGCGAATTCTTTTTCTAAACTGACTTCCCCATTCTTAATCCTTTTGTACCAAGCTCTCTTTCTACCTATAAGGTTTTTCAGATCCTTTGTTATCCATTTCGGGTCATTTGTATTTGATCTATTCAATTTGTATGGTATACTGCTTTCCTGTGCTTTGCTTAGAATATTTGTAAAAAAGTTATATTTTGAATCCAAATCGAAATCCTCCTCTACATCACACCTCGCTGGGTTCACGTCTTGCTCCAAGACCGCCCCCCCCCCCCTATGCCCAAGACTTTCCCGTCTATTTGCCCCCCAAAAAATTTCTTAGGATATTGAAAATAGCTTTACGAAAATCTGGCACTTTAGCAGAATTTTCTCCTGCAGATCTATTCCACTCTATGCTAAATCTGATTTCTTTGTGATCACTGTTCCCTAGTTCACTCCCGATTTCTGTCATTAATCGTGTTTCCTTGTTAGTTAACATTAAATCTAAAATATTATTTTCCCTCGTTGGTTCCTTAATGTGTTGCGTAAGAAAACAATCGTCAATTAACTCTATAAAATCTTCTGCTTCGTTATTCCCTGTTATGTTAACCCAGTTTAATCCACTAAAATTAAAGTCACCCATGACAAATACTTTTAGACCTAGATGCTCAAGATATTTCATCCCATAGATGCTTTGCTTCTATTCTGTCTAAATTTGGTGGCCTATATATAAGCATATTAACATTTGGTTATGTTAATATGATGTATATTGACGATAATGTGAAATATGGAAGTAGAAAACTGTGTCAGTGTACCCACAAATTCCTTTAAAAAAAAAAAAAATTCTTCAAAGAAAACATTTTCAGCATATACTTTATATTTTAAACCAACGATTTCTATTATATTACAATTATAAATAGTCTCTGAAAGTCATAGATAGTCATAAATAGTCATAAACAGAGAATAGTCTCTGTTTATGACAATGGTTCATTTGCCAGTTTACATGTAGACTATTATGGAACCGTAATATGCTTTCAGAATATCACAAATATCAAGATAACTCTCCAGGTGGTTTGAGGGGACGACGGGTGTGGTTTCTCTCGGTAATGGATTTGGTTTGAGGACGGTTGCATATATGGACCAGTCTCCCAGTCTTCAAGATTCATGAACACTTTCATTGCTCAAACATAAACTCCAACAACACTTTATATTATATTACAATGAAGATGCTTAAATATAATAGATTCCCATAGGCTCCCAGGAAAATCCAATACACATATAAAGAATAATTATCTTACTACTATAATCTTATAAGACTACCAAACTATCAGTAGTATAAACCAGGACGGAAACCAGCTTTTTTCTTATTTCCCAAAGCTAGTTTCCATCTCCTTAATTTGTCGATGCATGACATCGACAGCCGATTATAATTCTCATTTTTTTATGAAACTCCATAATACGTGGTTGCAGTCGGCAAATTTTCAGAGTTCGTTTATGGCTTACAATTATTTTTCAGTTAGTTAAAGATTGTATATTAATACCAAATATATTTTGACAGTGTCTGTTTAAAGATTGCTTATTTTAAGTAAATATTTGTCAAGGGTATAGTTAAATAATACTTATTAGCACCAAGTATAATTTAGGATCTAGTCAGAGTGCCTATTGAGTACTAGAATAAACGAAACTACTGATTTGATTGTAATACATTCTGTAATTAATTACATAATTCTGTATTAATTAATTATGTAAATTAATGCAGAATGAATTAAATTATTCGGTATTTATTTTTGTGTCAATTAATATTAGTTTAATTCGGTAAATACAGAATAAAGGAAATTACAGAAGGCCTATTAGTCCATACCCATCATCGCCTATTTTTATCCACCCATACTGATCATATATGTTAAGCCAATCATGTCACCTCTAAGTCCTATTGGCCCATACGCATTACCCCTATTTATATCCACCTAAACTCATCATAATATATATATATATATATATATATATATATATATATATATATATATATATATATATATATATATATATATATATATATATATATAAGGCAAGAAAACCTAGTTTCCACCCTGGTCTATACCACTACTACTATCCACTTTATATTATACAGATTATACTTAGAATTATTATAAATTTACCAAATCAATATTGTTTACTACTACTATCCACTCTATATTAGATAGACTATACTTAGCATTCTATATTAGATAGACTATACTTAGTATTCTATATTAGATAGACTATACTTAGCATTCTATATTAGATAGACTATACTTAGTATTCTATATTAGATAGACTATACTTAGTATTCTATATTAGATAGACTATACTTAGTATTATTATAAACTAATCAAATTAATATTGTAACAGGTTAAGATTGTACTCTCTCTAGCAAATTTATGTTAATATTGTAACAGATGTGACAGTCTCAGCATCTTATAAGAGCATTACTATCTGTCTTGCTATATAACTATTGTATCAGCTCAAGATATTAAGATATTTCTCATTATTCACTGTGGTTTTTTATATTGTATTACTTATTAACTGCCTTAGATACGCTTAGTATAATTTCAGAGTGTAAATTTTGTAATGGAACCATATGTGTAACCCGCGACTGTAATCCAATGTGAATGCCGCCATCCAGGCTTGTGCTGTGACACCGGAGTTTATCGCAGCTGCTGCTCACTTTACCACAGTGTACCTAACAATTTATTCTTCTATCCCAAAGGTAAAAATGTTACTTTATCTTTCATCCAGGGAAGATTAACTCTTAGGGGGTTAAGTCTCTTCTGGTATTTGCAACCAAAACAAACATAGTTCAACAACTTCGTACTGATCATCTTCAAGAGCCATGCGAGCAGTTTCCTTCAAGGCTCGGGGGCTCAAATTTGGTAATTTCCTCAACACATCTGTGACTCCATTCCAGTTTCGGTCATTAAGAAAGAGTTTGAAAAATTTGTCATCATGCCCATTGGCGCCTGTCAGCTGCTGAGCCTGTGAAAGTATAAGTTCCATTAGAAAATAATCTATATTCATAAGAGAGAGAGATTGTCTATCTAAGGATGGAGATCAGATGCTTGGAGCAGCCTCACCCATCTTGCAGGATGACTCATAGAAGGTATGGGAGTGTCGTAGGCCAGCTGGGGGTCGGCCACACTGCCACACTCAAGAAATATCGTCATCTATAGCAACACCCTGAAAGTTTTATGAGGACTGAAATATAATCAGTTGTTTTTCACGTAGAATTTTGCCATAATATGTAATATCACCTCTTGTACCTTGCGTGTGACATCACCCTTGAACCCAGCCTGTGACATCACCCTTGAACCCGGCCTTGGACATCACCCTTGTACCTAGCCTGTGACATACCCTTGTTCCAAGACTGTGACATCACCCTTATACCCGACCTGTGACATCACCCTTATACCCAGCCTGTGACATCACCCTTATACCTGACCTGTGACATCACCCTTATACCCGGCCTGTGATATCACCCTTATACCCGGCCTGTGACTTCACCCTTGTACCCAGCCTGTGACATCACCCTTGTACCCAGTCTGTGACGTCACACTTGTACCTAGCCTGTGACATCACCCTTGTACCCATCCTGTGACATCACCCTTGTACCCATCCTGTGACACCACCACCCTTATACCCGGCCTGTGACATCACCTTTGTACCCAGCCTGTGATATCACCCTTATTCCCAGCCTGTGACATCACCCTTATACCCAGCCTGTGACATCACCCTTATACCCAGCCTGTGACATCACCGTTATACCCAGCCTGTGACATCACCCTTATACCCAGTCTGTGACATCACCCTTATACCCAGCCTCTGACATCACCCTTATACCCAGCCTGTGACATCACCCTTATACCCGACCTGTGACATCACCCTTATACCCAGCCTGTGACATCACCCTTATACCTGACCTGTGACATCACCCTTATACCCGGCCTGTGATATCACCCTTATACCCGGCCTGTGACTTCACCCTTGTACCCAGCCTGTGACATCACCCTTGTACCCAGTCTGTGACGTCACACTTGTACCTAGCCTGTGACATCACCCTTGTACCCATCCTGTGACATCACCCTTGTACCCATCCTGTGACACCACCACCCTTATACCCGGCCTGTGACATCACCTTTGTACCCAGCCTGTGATATCACCCTTATTCCCAGCCTGTGACATCACCCTTATACCCAGCCTGTGACATCACCCTTATACCCAGCCTGTGACATCACCCTTATACCCAGCCTGTGACATCACCCTTATACCCAGTCTGTGACATCACCCTTATACCCAGCCTCTGACATCACCCTTATACCCGGGCTGTGACATCACCCTTATATCCGGCCAGTGACATCACCCTTATACCCAGCCTCTGACATCGCCATTATACCCGGCCTGTGACATCACCCTTATACCCGGCCTGTGACACCACCCTTATACCCGGCCCGTGACATCACCCTTATACCCGGCCCATGACTTCACCCAATTGTACCCAGCCTGTGACATCACCCTTGTACCCAGTCTGTGACGTCACACTTGTACCTAACCTGTGACATCACCCTTGTACCCATCCTGTGACATCACCCTTGTACCCATCCTGTGACATCACACTAGTACCTAACCTGTGACATCACCCTTATACCCGGCCTGTAACATCACCCCTTGTACCTGGCCTGTGACTTCACCCTTGTACCTAGCCTGTGACATCACACTTGTACCCAGCCTGTGACATCACACTTGTACCCATCCTGTGACATCACACTTGTACCTAGCTTGTGACATCACACTTGTACCCAGCCTGTGACATCACACTTGTACCCATCCTGTGACATTACACTTGTACCTAGCTTGTGACATCACACTTGTACCCAGCCTGTGACATCCCACTTGTACCAATCCTAAAATTGGGGTGGAAGCCGGTCGGCCGAGCGGACAGCACGCTGGACTTGTGATCCTGTGGTCCTGGGTTCGATCCCAGGCGCCGGCGAGAAACAATGGGCAGAGTTTCTTTCACCCTATGCCCCTGTTACCTAGCAGTAAAATTGGTACCTGGGTGTTAATCAGCTGTCACGGGCTGCTTCCTGGGGGTGGAGGCCAGTAGTGAATAAGGAGACAGATTGAGGTAAAAAAATTTCAGAAACGGTTGGGCACTTCCATGCCGACTTGACCCTGTCGGGCCAGATCGTCCATTCCTCTTATTTGGGTGGTTAGGTTAGGGCACAGTCAGCGCGCTCCTGGCTGGCTGGCTGGCGGTGGTGGGGTGGTGGTCCCCCCTGGGGTCCCGGGGGGACCACCACCAATGGTGTACCTGAGGAACTGGTGCCCTATCCTAACCTGTTTTCCTGAACGATTCGTCTCGAGCTTTTAAGATGAGTCTAGGGCCTCAATGAGGGGGTCTCTACTTATGAGAGGTACCGAGGATGAATGTTCAATAGTTGGAAACCAAAAAATACACTGGTGAAAGGCGTATAAACGTTTTTGGAGTATTTTAATGGCATGAGCAAAAATGCACGATTTGTCCCGGGGGTGTTACGAGAGTACTACGGTATCAATTTGGGGGCCCTTACTTTTGAATGGATCAGAGGGTGAATGTTCAATAGATTCAAACCAAGAAACACAGTTGAAAGCGAATATAGAAGTTTTTGGAGTACTTTAATGAGGCTATGACTGAATAGTATAGGGAGCCCTTGGGCACAGCTCCATTTTCTGTAATGGTCAGAGGTGGATAACCCCCAGTGGGGGTCAAGCATACAAGGGGGGGTCAAGATTCCTTACAAAGACCAAGTTTGGATATATAGGTGTAGTAAGCCTTATCTTGAATTTGCATGATACTGTGGGGTACATTGACATGAAGGGCGAGTCATAGAACAGGATCTGCATGTGAGATGGGTCATATTGGGGTTTTAAAAAAGTTAAGATAGCTTTAAAGAGTCCTGTGTGCTTGATAGTGGGGAAATGTTCAGTCAATAATTCTCGTGTTTTGAATCTGAATGAGGGGTCCTAGTTTGCGTTCTAGTCGTAAAATGAGTTCCTTAGTATATTTGCTATGGAAAATGAGCTTTCAGTACTCTATATAATTTGAAATGAGGTCAAGAAAGACATGTTTATGTGCGAGAAGAGTCAGGTTGGAAACTGTTTATTTCAGTCATCCCCCCTTGGCTTTGCTCCGTTTTCTGTAGCTAAAGTAAAGATTCCATTTTCTGTGGCATACAGTTGATTACTGGTGAAAAAGGCATACTTGAATTTGTATGGTTCTAACCTGTTTATAGATATATGTTTCGGGCCTCAAATTAGATTTTAATATGAAAAATAGCATCAAATGTATGTCTATCTTTTGCAATAAACGTTACAAGCATTAACAATACCTGTGATATTTCATAGCATACGAAAAGAAGTTTAAATAGTGGGGCCTCAGCCATATTGTGTTGGGGTTTGACACTTCTAACATGAATTTGACACTCGTAAATATACTATAAAGGAAAGTAGTTGAGTGGTTTAAGCAATTTAATACGTATTGGGGTATTCTGTATTAAATTTCATTTTTAAACATTATAATAGTTTTCAGCTATTGTGGTAGGGGCCCAATAACTTCGTATAGCGCAACGACTGGCGCTATCTGTACTTAGTCCCCCCTAAACTTAAAACAGTTGCACAATCTTACTTAAACACATTGCTAAACTCTTATACACAAACAAAAACTCAATTTTTTAACTTACACAAATAAACCCAGGGCTTTCACATTCGCGCAAAATACTTAGTCCCCCCTAAACTTAAAACAGTTGCACAATCTTACTTAAACACATTGCTAAACTCTTATACACAAACAAAAACTCAATTTTTAACTTACACAAATAAACCCAGGGCTTTCACATTCGCGCAAAATACTTAGTCCCCCCTAAACTTAAAACAGTTGCACAATCTTACTTAAACACATTGCTAAACTCTTATACACAAACAAAAACTCAATTTTTAACTTACACAAATAAACCCAGGGCTTTCACATTCGCGCAAAATACTTAGTCCCCCCTAAACTTAAAACAGTTGCACAATCTTACTTAAACACATTGCTAAACTCTTATACACAAACAAAAACTCAATTTTTAACTTACACAAATAAACCCAGGGCTTTCACATTCGCGCAAAATACTTAGTCCCCCCTAAACTTGAACACTCACAATCTTACGGTGCTTTAATTTCCAAAGCCTTCCAAACCTGCACTGGGTCCTGCCCTGCTGACTGCGGCTGGATGGATTACAATTGAGCCAAAAACAGTTGGTCAGGGCGAGATACGGCCTCATTTTTAGAGACATTTACTATAGCAAAAGCTTGAACGTCGAGAACTGAATGCGGGCCTGCACGAGAGTTGTTCTTGGCACTCAAATGTTTAGAGATTAAAATACATAGAATCTGCAAGAGCCCACCCTAAGTCGCTCACGCGGCCAATAGACATGTTTTTCGCCCAAATGTATTTATTTAAAATAATACGTCAGATAGAAAGAGTTTCGCATTGCTATTATATTTACCTTATAAAGCCTCTTTATAAAAATGATATGGCACTGCGTATTATGATTGTTTGATAATAAATATTGCATAAATACTTACACGATTTCATAAACAAAAAAAAACTTTTAATGAGCCATGGTTGGAAGGCTGTATCATTACCGTAATTACAAACTTTTAAAACTAACTAAAAATATATGTCTCATAGAGGAAGATTTATTCTTCAGGATATATATTATTTATTAATTAAGAGTTTCATTCTGTATAAAAAATGAAAGTTGCCAATATTTTCAAAGCTCTGGCCACTAATTTTTTATAAAGGTTTTCCAAGGGAGTAAATCTTGCTTCCTCTCTTTCTCCCAAATGTTTCCTCATTTGCACAGGAGCAGAGCAACCTTCGTGCGGGCCCTGGTTCAGTTCCCCAACGTCCGAGCTAATGGACATTACAAATTTCACTAAATGATGCAGTATCTTAG